GGGCGCGGAGGAGGCTGGGAAGCTGGCACGGAGGAGAGGGCGCGGGCGGGAGGGGGTCGGAGGGGCTGGGGCACTGGTGGGCAGGGGGGTGGCCTCGACTGGAGCCCCAGTTAGATGCAGTCCCCGCCTTCGGCCTCTTAAAATAGAGAAGCCGCCTCCGGGTAGGAGAGTGGGGGCGCCGCTGACGTCAGGAAGTGGGACCTGTTCCATGGGGGGGCGGACATTCCCAGATGACAGGTCCTACAGGACCAAAGGAGAAACTAAGGCTCAGCAATGCGACGCCACTGTCCAGGCCTCACCACACAGGGGACAGGATTCGAACCCAGGGAGGTCCAGCTCCCCCTCCAGACCCACCCACCACTGGTTGCATCCAGGGAGATAGAGGGAGAGGCTAAGGGGTGCTAGGCAGGGATTCTGGAGCAGGTGGCATGTGCAAAGGCCCAGAGGCACATGTCCTGCTATCTACAGGAGGAGCAAACAGAAGGTGCTTCCTGGTGTGAAGCTAGACATGATGGCTGTCTGGTGGCAGTGCTGACTGTGAAGAGGTTAGACATTCTCCCTAGGGTAATGGGGAGCCATGGAAGGTACTAGAGCAGGGGAGGACACACTCATATTTGCAGACCAAAAACACACCTGTGCAGCCAGTAACGGGCAAAAATGAGGTCAGGAAGCCAAGAAGGAAATAAGACTGAAGGCCAAAGTGGGGGAAGATTAAAATAATAGTGAAGTGGTACGAACTGACCCCATTAGCCGACCAAGCACTGTGTGGGTATTTAGTTCTGCTCATGGCCAGAATGGTGATACGATTATTAGTTGTTTTTTTCAGAAGGGGGAAACTGAGGCTCAGAGAGGAAACACAACAGCTGAGATCCCAGAGAGCTGGAATGTTAAGCGATCTGGCGGCCGAGCCTGCGCTGAGGTCAAGACCTTAGGCTTGATCTACAATCGCATCCCGGCCCCGTCCATGCAGCCCCACCCCAGTTAGGGAGGGCCTCAAAGCCAATTGGATGGCGGCTGCTAGTGAGAGCCAATCAGATTTCCTGGAGGTCAACCACCGGCAGATGTCACAGCGTGAATTCATAAAAATTTGAGGACTCAGGTGATTGGCCAATCCAGACAATAGCATGGGGATCCTGTCCAATGAGATTGTGGCTAAGCAAGGCCTGTGATTGGCTGCCTGCAGGACAGGTCTTATTCCTGATCCAAACCCTACCAGTTTGCTTTGGCCGTGGGTCAGCGGTGTGGGGATTGGTCCTGCCTAGTTTGGGTTAAACTCGGTGCCATGTGTAACTTTTCCAAGCATCAGTAAACATGAGCTCTTCTGGAACCGGGTGTGACGGCGCACACCTGTAATCCCAGGACTCAGGAGGGTGAGGCAGGAGGATCGAAGCAAGTTCGCGACCAGCCTGGGCCACATAGTGAGTTTAAGTCCAACCTGGACTATACAGCGATACCCTGTCCCAAAACAAAACAAACAAACTTGAATTTTTTTTTTTTTTTTTTTTTTGAGACAGGGTCTCACTATGTAGTTGAGACTGACCTGGAATTCACTATGTAGCCCAGGCTGGTCTCGAGAACTCACAGCGATCCTCCTGCCTCAGCCTCCCGAGTGCTGGGATTAAAGGCGTGCAACCATCACCCCAGCTGAGATATTCTTATTATCACCATCTTCCACCTGAACCTTTGTTTTACACAAAACAGAATTTCAAAGCACCAGATCGGCAAACAGGAAATCTCCAGGACAGAGCAAGTGGCCACGGCCCCTGTTGGGCCTGTGCCCCTTGCTGCTGGGAAGGGCCCCCAGAAGGCCCGCTCTTCAAAGCCACTCCCTTCGCGATGGCCTGGGTCGACTTGGTCTCCTCCTCCAGGAAGCCCTCCGGCCGTAGTCTGTGCACAAGTCCCACTCTGACCCCGCAGCCCCCACCCTCCGCCCACGCCCCAAGCCAGGCAGAGCTGCTTGGTGGGGTCGGGTAGACGCCACCTCCCCAAGGAACAGCCGGCCGGGGGCGCCGCTCTAGGCGTAGCAGATGGCCCAGCTCCTGGCGGAGGAGGGGATTAAGATCATCATCAAGAGTCCGCGCCCTGCCACCCCCCAGCTTCTGGCTGGTCCATGTACACCAGGGCCTGTAACCCGCCTTTCCCTGAAAGACACTGAGGCAGAGGCGGGCATTCGCTGTCGGGTGGGGTCACCCGTGGGACAGCGGAGTGGAAACCCACGACAGTCAGGCCCTGCAAGGCATGGACCAGGGTAGCAGGCAGGGGATGCGCAGGGTTCCAATCGTTCCATCGTCAGGTAGTGGGTGGAGCTAGTACAAGATCCCGCAGCGATTTAGGGGACAGAAAGGAGATTCTAAGGTCTTGCGGTGGTGATGGTCCCTGGATCCAGGACTCCTTGTCAGGTATGGTAGTGAGCACCCCGTCCCCAGAGGTATTCAAGCAGACCGGGAGACCTCAGAGTGGTAACTCATTCTCCTTCCATCCTGAAAGGCTCGGTTTTCTGAGCACGGAGTGGCTGGGATTAGGCAGGAGGGTGACGCTCCAACCCGCGCCAACCCTTCCCCTCCTCCGATGCCGGAGACCCTGCCCTCACCCCCACTCCCCCGCCAGCCGGGTCGTCCAGCGCCTGGCGGCTTCCAGCCCCCTCCAATTGGCTGCGGGGGCTGATGACGTCAGTGGTTGCCATGGTGAACACCCGCCTTGGGACGTGGGCAGTCTGGAGCCCACCGAGGTAAAAATAGCCGTGTGTCCCCAACGCGGGCCGCCCCAGTGTGTGTGCTTGGGGGGGTCCCCAAGATTCAGCTTTCCCTCTGCTTCCGCAGAGAGATGTGGGCCGCTGGCTTCCCTCAGAACCTCAGTTTCCGGCCCTAACCCGCCCATAGGAGGGTGCAGAATACAGAACAGTAGGTGCGCGGTAACCCTGGAGCCCTCCTGATGCCAACCCCAAGTCACAGAAGGAGAAACTGAGGCAAGGCATCCCCAGGAAGGGACAGATACCACCACAGAGATGCAGGTTGAAGCCGCCCGGAGTAGGAACTGTGGGCTCAGAATCGTCTCTCAGGCCGGCCGCGTCTGAGCGCGGACCCCGAGCCCAGGGCTCTGCCCCGCGGTGGGAAACCAGGCCTGCAGGAAGGCGAGCTGGGCGCGGTGGTGCACGCCCTGGAAAGGCCGAGGCAGGAGGATCGCCGAGAGTTCGAGCCCGTGCTCCGTAGTGAAGGCCAGCCTGGACTGCACCGTGAGACCCTGTCTCAAAAAGAAAAGAAAATTTCGGGAAACCATTAAAAAACAAACAAACAAACAAACAGGGAGGTGAGCCTGGCGCCCCCACCCCTGCCCAGTGCAGCATAGGAGACCTTGGCCGCGGAGATGTCCACGAGGGGGCGCAGTGGATTCTCCCTCAGCCCGATTCAATTTAAGCCACTACTGATACTCTTTTTTTGGGGGTACCGCCATCTAACTCAGGACCTTGCAGCTTTCAAGGCATGTTCAGTGCCACTGAGCTAAGTCTCCGGCCCGCCACTACAAGAAATCTTTTGTTTTTTTAAGACAGAGTCTCGCTATGTAGTCCAGGCTGGCCTCCAACTCATGGCGATCCTCCTGCCTCAGCCTCTGGAGTGCTGGGATTACAGGCGTGTACCACCCTGCCTGGCGTAGCTTCATTTATTTTAAGTAAAAATATTTTTTAAGCCGGGTGTGGTAGTGCACCCTTGATTCCCAACACTCATGAGGCTGAGGCAGGAGGATGGCTGTGAGTTCAAGGCCAGCCTGGACCACATACCGAGACCTGGTCTCAGAAAACATGCATATTTGCTGGCCAGGAAAACAGATCGGCGTCCAGAAGGGTGCTCCAGGTGAGACCTGAGATGTGAGCCCAAGTTCTCGGGCAAGAGGAGAAGGCAAGTGGTGCCAAGGCCCTGGCTGATTTGGGGGCGTCGTGGGTCAAGGGTCAGGGTTCAAAGGGCTCGACTTCCTGGGAGTGATTCGAATCTTTCTTCTGTTTCAGAAGGAGCTGAGCCTGCCACGCCGGGGCCGCGGGTGAGTTCCCCTGCAGCCGGGGGGTGGGGAGGCTGCAGTCCTGGCCGCGAGTTGTGAACTTAATACTGTCTATGCTTCTCACCGGATCCTCCCTGGTGTGCGCCGAGTGCTTCACAAGCCACTCGCTTGGCTGTCACCAGCAGCCTGGGAAACCCCTGGCAGTATGTAAATGTATGCAAATGAGCAACTAGAGCTGTAAAGGCGTTGCTCCCAGGTTATAAGGCACCATCGTGGAATGAGCCGTGCTCCTCACCTCTCAAGTCCCCTGGTTCAGGCTTGCATGCCTCCTGCAATGGGCAACTCACTTCTTTTTAGGGACCACGAGAAAATAGTCTTGATTGGGCTCACATGGGCATTTCCGTAGGCTGGCATTTTTGGAGCTCCCTAAGCGCAAGGAGCATTTCGTTCACCCTCTTTCCCGTTTCCTGGGTGGGTAGGGGTACACGGAAGTCTGTGTCCAGCTCTGCACAGGCTCATGGTGTGGAAGTATGTGCGTGTGGATACCCGTGTTTGCGGGGTGCATTTGCCTGAGTTGGGGGGCAGGAATCATTCAGCAAACGCTGAGCACCTACTGTGTGCCAGGCCCTATTTGAGGCCCAGAGACAAGGCAATGCCGGGGAGCTGCCATTCCTAGAAGGGGACAGGGAAATGAGGTTCGCACAGGAAAAATTAAACAGAAAAGGTCGGGGGGAGGGGTCTTGGCGCTTCGACCGGCATGTGGGGTCTCCTAGGAGACAGCTTTGGGCAGGCGGATCTGGAAAGGAGAGGCACTGGGGGGACATCTTGGGAGATGCAGTAGTAGGCTCAGGCACGGCAAGTGCAAAGGGCCTGTGGCAGGTGCCCGTGTGTCATCCGAGACCAGCGTGGAGCTGGGGTCAGGGGGCAGTGGCAAAGCAGGTGGAAGACAGAAGGGCGGAGCTCCGGGAGGGGTCAAACTGGCCCGCACGCTGGCCATCTGCTCCTGCTGTCCTGGGGCTGGCCAGCTGGTGAGGCAGGGCTCGGACATTGCCCTGGCCTTTGCCCAGCCTGGGGGAAGGGTGGTGACCAGGGAGTCAACCTCACAGGGCAAAGTCCCCGAGGAGTCGCCCCTCCTGCCCGCCTGTCCCTTCCCTGCCTGGCTGCCTGGCTGGGAACCCCTGGGCTTCACGGCGCCAAAGAGGGACGCATACACCTCTAGATTTGTGACAGAAGCGGGACGGGCTGGGGGCCCAGACACAGCTCGCGGAGGAGGGGACAGGGCGGCACTGGGATGTGGTCACAGGGACATGTTCCTGCGGAGGCCCAGCACAGCGAGGGCCTCGGGTCCAGGGTGCCCAGATGCGCCACGGGGTGGGGCACAGCGTGGGGAACCCGGAGTGTGCGAGGCCTCAGGACCCAGCGACCGCGGAGGCGGAGGGGCTCGGCGGCGATGGAACGTTCAGGCTGGACCGGGGACAGGGCGGCACTGGGATGTGGTCACAGGGACATGTTCCTGCGGAGGCCCAGCACAGCGAGGGCCTCGGGTCCAGGGTGCCCAGATGCGCCACGGGGTGGGGCACAGCGTGGGGAACCCGGAGTGTGCGAGGCCTCAGGACCCAGCGACCGCGGAGGCGGAGGGGCTCGGCGGCGATGGAACGTTCAGGCTGGACCGCGGGGCAGGGCCGCTCTTCCCTTCCAGCCGCGCGGCTCGGATCGGGATTACCCTTCCCCTACCCATCCCACCTTCCCTACACCTTTAGC